TTTGGTAATTAAGTTGGAAGCTTAATTAGCAATGACATCGAGAAACAGTTTAGCTATTCATGAACAATAATATATTTAATAATATGATAATAATATATTTGGAATCAGCATCAAAAAGTGAATCGACTGATGTGCGTTTCAGGTGTTCTGGACAACTTTGGACAAATCAACTGACTGTTAATATGATTTCCTTTGATTTTGCGAATATTGTTCCCTTTTCTGGTTTTGAAATAAGGCTAACAAAGGATGATACAGACATCATGAATGTAGATTTATTGCTTGGATCATCTGCCGCCTCATCAGCCTAAACATACAGGTAACAAATTACAAAATACTTCTACAGATTGAGAGTGCTACAGTCTGCCTGGAAGTTCCAAATGCTGTTGTCAATGCTAGTTTTTGTAATTTCATCAGTGGCATCCCATAATCACTTTTCCGTATCAAACTGATATGACCATTCAGACTAAACAAAGACTGTTCGTTCCACTCAGAAATCATTAATGATATCAATTATATTTGTGCTAATTTTCAACTGATGCATTTTCGGAATTAGCAACTCTCGATTCACCCAGTCAAAAGCTTTCCTTATATCACAGATTTACCACGGCAGTTGATGTGATAATTTCAAATGATGAGGTAGCATTGAATGAGGGACAAGAATTGCTAGAAAAAATTGATAACACAACTATGCTATTGATCAATACCGATGCCTCTAAACAACATGATGAAGTAGCAGTAGTCATAACGGCCATGACAAAAGCTGGTGATGAGTTTAAATGGAAAGATTAGAGGGGTGGGAGAGAAATAGAGAAACCGCAATTAAGCAATCACAACGAGAACGATGCTCCATCCACGAGAGCTTTGCATCGCTTCATTCAAACTTCTCGTCTGGTCCACGACAATAATGCTTTTACACGAGAATTATGCTGTTTCGTGGGAGAATTATGAGTCAATGCAAACCATATTATGCTATCTTCACGAGAATTTTGTATCTCCCCATAGAAACTTTTTCTTGCCGAGTCCATGAGAATAATGCCGTTTAGTGTGAGAATTATGCCTAAATCTCAAACATGTTATGCTATCTTCAAGAGAATTTTGTATCTCTTCATACAAACTGTTTCTTGCCTACTCAACCAGAATAATGCTTTTACACGAGAATTATGCTGTTTTGTGCGAGAATGATGCATATGATCTGTACCATATTATGCTATCCTCACGCGAATTTTGTATCACTACCTAAATGCTTTCTTGTTTCGGGGACGTGAATGATGGTTTTTCCATGCGAAATACAAACCAACGTCCGAGATGTACTGTGTAAGCACAGCTGACTTCATATATATTCTTCACAGTATATTACATAAACTTCTTTCAGTGATAAGAGCCTTTCTGGAAAGTACACCCCGTTCATTCACACACTTACACACGCAGAAAACGTACACGTTTCCATTCTATAACAAAACATTCACCAAACTCTATACCATACATCCAGAAATGACCACATAAATCTACCCCTCCAAAGAACACAATCAGCATTAACCCAAAGCACAACTATCACTCCAAAACACGACAATTCTTCGAACAATACGCATAAATTCTACTGGAGACAACCGAGAAATTCTCAAGTCAAACAAACTACTTCTCGAATAATTCACAGACACAAAATTCTCGCGCCGACACCACAATCTCTTCGAGAATACATGCGTAATTCTTTGAGAAAACAGCACTATTCTCGCGTAAAAACATTATTCCCGTGGCCTAGCCAATAAAATTTCTATGAACACATACAAAATTCTCGTGAAGATAGCATAATATGTTGCAGATGATATCCACAATTCTCACCAAAACTGCATAATTCTCGTGGACTAGGCAAGAAAAAGTTTGTATGAAGAGACACAAAATTCTCGTGTAGAGACCATAATTTCTGGTAGACTAGATGCATAATTCTCACACAAACGAGCATAATTCTCATGCAAAAGCATTATTCTCGTGGACTAGGCAAGAAAACGTTTCTATGAAGACATACAAAATCCTACTGAAGGTGGTATAATATGTTTGAGATTTAGGCATACTTATCCCACAAAGCAGCATAATTCCCGCGCAGCACTGAGGGAAAAGGCAAAATTGACATATTGCAGTTTTTTCTCCATGCAGAAGTAAGTTGTGCCGGTTTCTTAGCAAAATTCTCACGGGACGAACATAATTTCGGTTTGACGATTTCTCTCCCACCACTGAAAGATTATGGTATATATTTAGGACAAAAATACTCTGTGTAACATGGCGAGCTGTTAATGATACAACTAGCTCTAAAAATTCTAGCAGACATATCACCTTCATCAAAACAAATTTTCCTTTTCTTGTCATGCTTGTACTACACTAGCAGATAAAATTCATAAATAATCAAGTAGTTTAGTCCCACAGTACGGCACCTGGATTGATTTTGTGAAACGTGACAAACGTGACAACTGATTTAGAATATAAAC